ATATATTATTTAAAAACATTAAACACATACATATAAGCATATATTATTTAAAAAACATTAAAGACATGCATGTAAGCAATACAGTATGGCGTATCGAATACTGTATATAAAAGATGAGTTGCTAAAGAAAAGAATGGTCTTCGATTTATTTTTTTTTTAATTCTTTTTATTCATTCATATATATTCGCTCTTTTATGAAATAGATAATACAGAATCAAAATGTTAAAATCAATTAAAACCGTTAATTTAATATCACTTATATTCACTATTCTTACCATCATAACAACTTCTGTAAATGCGGGAGCTAATTTCAATTGTCCAAGCACCGCCAATACTACTTCAGATACTGAATATAATGTACTTCTCAAAACAAAATCTCCAGAAGAAGCACTGGAACAATTCAAAATTATTGCAAGCTGCTTTGGAATATCTGATAAATTGGAGGAGTTACTCTCAGATAAAGATACGGTAGATAAATGTATTGAATACGCAAGTGTTAATATACCTTCAGAACCTCCTTCTGTACCTGTGGGACTTCCTAGTGTACCTTCAGGACCTCCTTCAATACCTTCGAAACCTCCGAACCCTCCTAATATACCTGTGGGACATCCTAATATACCATCGTTTCCTGCAGCTACAACTACAATAATACCCTTAGCGGTAAGGGCTTCTACTGCTTCATTTAGTGCTTGAGACACACCACCTCCAAGTGACATGCTTTAAAAAGAAGAAAATTAATATTTTATTACTTAAAAAGGATAACTTCATTAATAAAAACTTACTTCACGACTGATGGTTTTTTGGTCTTTTTAGAATTTTTACATACGAATTGAAGTCCCTTGATTACATCTGAAGTAAGACCTGTCCCAGCTGCATTTAGCACTTTAACTGCAATAAGTATAGACTTCTTGGAAACGCCAAATGAACCTGATGCAGCCTATTATTCAATTTATATATAATTGAATTATTACACAAAATACTAGAAAAAAAATAACATTAGAATACGTACAATTCCAGCTACGTGTGTTCCGTGACTGTTTTTTTTTTTTACAAAAAAAAAAAAATTCAAATGATGGGTTATGAGGCTGATTTTATCCAATACCTTGAAGAATCCAAAAAAATGGTT